GGCGTCCTCCCCAGCCGCCGCGGCCGTGGGCCTTGTGCGTTCCGGTTATCGCGGAGGTGGCGCCGAGCGCGACTGGGTGCTGCTTCTGGCACCGTGGCCGGTGCACGAAAAGGGTCGAGAAACCCCCGATCTCTCACCAGACGGCGGTGGAATGGGGCCAGCGTCTTGTGTTGTGGTGGAGCGCCAGGGTCTGCAGAGTCCCGGGGGCCTCAACAGCCACCTGCAGTGGGGTGGTGCTCCTTTTTTTGGTGTATGGGTTCGACCTTTTAAAAATTGTTAATGGGTAATATTGCACATCATGGCTTTGCTATTTAGCACTGTCCACAAATTGGCTATTAAGCACTGTCCACAAATGCAACTTTAAATGTGTCTCATTTTCCTGTCTGAAAAAATGAAAGACAGAGGATAATAGGAATTTCAAAGCTCTAACGGCATCTCATCAGCACACCAAAGAACGGGGAAGAGGTAGCTGCCTTTTTAGTAGCATTTACAGAGTAGCTAAGATGCAGCCCAGAATTAGTGAGCTGTGAGGAGAGGTAGGCCAAATGAATTTGAAGCCATGTTACTGCAAATACAAGTTTGTTGTAGGTATGGCTTGTAAGCTGTCATCTGTCTGCAGGGAACACGTGAACTGATTTAAGAGCAGGGTGTGCATTGTACACTTTGGCGTTCAGATTGTTTTGTTGACTAAAGCAAGTAAATACACTAGAAGTGCAGTTTCTCACTCTCAGGTGCCTTTTATCTGCCCATATCTCCTAGTTCATGGCCTTGTCTATTAGCAGAAGGCCTGTTCATTAGCAGTTCAAGCTGTTACACTGAGCTGGGAACTTGGATGATGGAGATCTCACCACATGCTCTGCTGTTTTGGAGGGTTGGTTTGTTAACCAGGAGGACAGGACTCGACTGACTAGAAAGCATACAACTTCATCAGAACCTTTAAGCTGTGTTAGTGCTTGTGTTTTGGTGTTGTTTTTTTGGGATTGTTGGTTTTTTTGTTGTTTTTTTTTTAACTTGTGAAAAATTATTAGCTGGTATTTCCGTACTATGCATATCTTAGATTAATATGGTTAACATCAGTTGTTTCCTGACTTATAAACTCCAAGACCTTTCTCCTTATCCACAGATCAATATGCTGGACTTCGTGTTTGCTGTTGATGATTCTGTGACTTGGCATATGATGAACTTGTTAAAGAACAGGAGTCATTATTCCTTCCTAAAAGTTTTTGGGCCAAAACAGATAAGTACTGTACAGAACTATGGAGCAGGGATTTACTACAATACTTTAGTGCCGTGTAATGGCAGGGTAAGTACAAGTAGTTTAGGTAAATGAAGTCAGATGTTTGTATGTGAAGTATTTAAATGATCAGCTCAAAGCAGATTTCTGTGCAGGTAGCAACTCTTGTAGAATACAACTGGTCCTTAACTTGTGGTATCTTCAATATTTATGTCTCAAACAGTAAGAAACAGCACATTAATTAAAAAGCAAATTAAAAAGGGCGGCTGCTCTTGCACTTTAAAAGTGTGAGCAATGTTTGAAATTTACAAATAAAGCACTTCAGAAACTGGATTTATATTCCTTATTACTTGCTGTCTGGCAGTTTTGGTGGTTGTAAAGTGTATCATATGGTTAAACAAGGCCTTAATTTCAGCAATTGACCATGTAGTAATAGCAAACTGGATTCTTGCCGTTTATTTGACATAAAATGCAAACATATAACATAGCAAGTTTGGATTGACATCTGTGTTGTTTAGTGGCTAACATCCTGTGAAGCTTGGGTATCATTAATAATTCTTGGTAAGTAGTACTTGTCCAGCAGTCCAGTACTTGTCCTACTCCTGCATCAATGTGTAGGCTGTGCTTGACATTGGCAAGGAGGAACACAGCTGTGAGTCAGGAGAGAAACGCTCTGTCTGTCTTGGTGTTGATATTGAGTAACTTAGTAACAAACTGTACCTAGGGAAAGCGAGTTCTTTTAAGAAAGATAGGAAACTAAATGCAGTGAAGGACAGTCATGGAAAAATGCCATGTGAGCAGTGTGTAAGTAAGTGGAGGTTCTCGGAGCACATATGTTTGTAGAAACATTGGGTCCCTGTCAGGATTCTCCACAGAAAGTTGGAGAGGTAAAGAACATATCTATTGTGTACTTGCTGTTGTGTTTGGAGGCACCTGTATGAGGCTAGAATATGGGGTTTAAACCTTGTTCATCATATGTAAAAAGGGATTTGGGATTATATTTTAAGGACCAATCATCTTTGCTATGAAATTCAGTTCTTCTTGGCTCTTTATGCCGTTATCTCATGCTGTAATGACTTAGTCATATCACAGTCTATGGTCCTTAGTTATCCAGAAATTCTGGAGCTGACTGCCTGAAACTCGGGAACTGCATTGGTTACAGACTGTTGAAAGCTCGTATTTTTTCCAGTTACATAAAATGAACTACAGAATCACAATTTGTTTTCTAACATCAAAGAGGAGAAAGAAAACAGCTCCCTGATACACACAAATGTCTAGAGGTCTTTTTTATTTTAGCTCTTTGACAAAGTATTTCTTGAGTGTTTTCAATATGGTAAAGGATACTGTGGATTACTCAAACTATTGTAACGTTTGGCTGGTACAAAACTGATCATAAGCTTTCCAAAATCTTTTTATGAACAGTTGTAATTTAATGTTCAGATCTCTTCACTGTCAATGTTTGTCTAGAGTAGGTTTCTTTGGGGTTTAAAATCTTTCGCTTTAGTGATTGACCCTGGGGTGACTTCACTGTGACTTTGATTCTGGAAAGAATCTTAGAGTTCTGTGCATTCCACTTTGGTTTTTCCCAGAAGTTTGCATGTAAATAGGAATTATTTTTTAATAGGATTTTTTTTAAATACAGGATTTTTTTTGTGTTCATTAAAATGTTTTAATATTATGCATCTCTTTTTTTTGGAGATGTGTGTTCCTTAGAGGTAATGACAGTTATAGTAAGTAGTAAGTTTCATGTAGTGAAAATCGTGCGGGTATATGGTTTTTCAGAAGCCTTTCTTTTGCTTTTTTCCAGATGATAAAATATGGTGTAATTAGCACCGATACCCTGATTGATGATTTACTTCACTGGAAAACCCTGTATGTTGCTGGACGCCTACAAAAACCGGTAACTGTTCCTGTGTTCAGTTTTCTGGCTCAAAATGCAAGAGATTACAAGGCTGGAAAATTATCTGTTGTAGTTTTAACTTTAACTGTTAAGGATCTGTGTGTCAGTACTGGACAAATAATCTGCCCTGATTTAAGGGTCTAGCCCTAGAGGGATAATCTCTCAGAAAGGAAGTGAAACGTAGTCCTTGCTGATATTCTGTGTTATATGGAGAATAAAAAAAACCCAAACAAAAAACCAACCAAACAAAAAAACTGTAAGTAGATCAATCCCAGTTTTCTGCCTATGGTAAATCTTGAATAACTGGACTATATTAGCTCAAAGTCCCTGTAATGTTAAATGTAATATTTATCTTTTATAACAAATTACAGAAGTCACCAAAATTTAACATGGTTAAAGTCTTTAAAGATGAAAGCTGCTTTGCTGTGCAGTTCCTGTCTAGTTCATTGTATTGTTGAAGTATTTATAATTGACCACACCATGTATTAAGCCTGATGGTTTTTCTCCCTCATGTTTGTGTCATAAAAAAAAGGAGATCTTTGCTTTCTCATGAGTGCCAGATTCAGTGTGCTTTCAGCAGATGGCAGCAGTGCTGAGTTAAAATTTCTTAAGAGGGGAAGGGGGAATGAGAGGAGAATTCTGTTCAAGTCTTCAAACAGAAGTTAATTCTGCTTTTAACTAAAAATTTGCGATGAAAGTTTGAATAGATTGTGTCAGCACTACTGGCTTTTCTCTATCTCCAGAGACACATTAGAGCATTATATAGGTTAGAACAGCTGTTATCTTTATAAAGAGTGAAACTTAATACATTGAGAATAATAACTGGAAGAAGAATTCTGAATTTCACACTAAGAACAAATGGTGAATATTTACTTTCAGTGTGGCTGCATTTCCTGCTGCTTTCATTTATTGTAGGATTTTCTGTCATCTTAGTATCTATAAATTGTGCTTCATATCTTTTGATTAAATACAATGGAAGTATGTACTTGCACAAGAAGGCAGAATTGGGTATTTTGTTCAGTTGCTAACAAGACAGCAGAGATACCTTCACATATATTTGTTTAATAGATAAAAGAAGAAATCGGTCCAAATTATTTTCTTAAAACTCACAGCAATTTGCACTGAGTAAAGACTGCAGGACTTAAACTAGAGTTTGAAAGATTATTTGATGAGTGTCTCTTCCTGTAGAATCTTACAAAATCACTAACTGGGGTTTTGAATGCTATACATTGTTATAAAAAATGACCAAATAATTTGTTTAGTTCTGCTGTACAAGTTTCAAATGTCTGCTGGTTCTGGCTTCACAACTGATTTGATGTTTTGATACATAGTTGTAAGTGGTAGTGATAGAAAGCCTTTTTTTGCCTCCTTAAAAATGTGCAATAACTCTGTTTTGGAGGGGACACAGGGTTAGGTTTGGTTTCTTAGACATTGTAATCTCTTGCGTACCATTTGCCATTTCTGCTAGTTCTGGACAAAGCTGGCTGAAGCCAGACTAATACTGATTAACATTTCATTTGGGAATTTTCTCCTTGCTCTCACATAGAGGAGGAAGAGCCCAGCGCCTTTCTGGTGTTCCATTACAAAGCTGTCACTCTGAAAACTGTCCAAGCTATTCTAGCACATGAGCTAAAACACTTGTTCTGGCTTGAAAATCTTGGCTTAATTTTCACTGGAGGTTTTGTTTCCATTATAAACTGGTTGCCTTGACCAAGTACTCTTTCCAGAATGTTTGGCAGAATAGATGGAGTTTGGAATTGCCACTAAGAAATGTTAACTTTTCTTCCCAGGCTTCTTGGTTTGTGTTAAAAGTTTACTGGCTTTTCATCATACATGAAATTTATAATGCTGATGGGCTAAATTCCCATTTAACTGTATTGAAAAATTGAATAAACTTACTTGTAATTTCTCCATAGCTAAGAGGTTTCCTGGAAAAAAACCACTGCTGTGCCTAGAAAGTAAAATAAGCACAAGTGACATATAATTTGTTTCCAGGGGAAGATGATTTTTTAAAGCATCTGAAGTATTCCTGAATTTTTGTCAAACACAGAGTGCAAGTAATTGCTTTAGTGTATGCAGCTATATTTTTTGTTGTCCCAGAGAAACTATTAAGAGAAGGAAGCATTTAATAAATTGAAGTGAGGTGAGAGAGAGCCGAGTATGAATAGTGTATAGAAATATCTTGTAGTTTTTAGAGGGGTCTCGGGAGGTTTAGGTTTTTTTGTATTATAAAATTTCCCATGAAGAAGTGACAAAGCACATACTTGTTTACAGAATTTTTCCATTGGCCAAAACTGTGAAAACGTTTTTGGAAAGAGAATGGGAAAATCCTCTTGTGCTACTTGACACCATTCACTCTATAATGAGATTTTCTTTGTGCTGGAAGTATCTTTGTTTACAAGTGCCAGCAGTTTCTTGTGTATGAATTTCCTAGCAGTGAAGCTAGAACATTTCCTTTTTTAAACTGTTGTGATGACTGAGGGCTATGTGTATTTATAAAATTGAATATATGCCTCATTTAAAATATTTAATAATTTTAAAATCTCTACAGTTAGTTAACTGAATTTTCTGTATAATGTAAAACCAGAATAAACTGGCTTCCCCTTTCCCTTTTATGTGATGTGGTACAGTGACTAGTTCTGATCGTAAGTTCTCTGTACTGTGAAAAAGCCTTCCTTGAAAGGATACCTTAGCTGTTTCAGGTTATATTTGAGGTCAGAATTTTAGGTAATACTGCATCTGTGTGTGCTTGGGCTTTTGGGGAGTAAAAACCAGTTTGATACATTTGTTCATAACTGTCAGTGGGTTTGCATTTTAAGGTATTCTAGAGTAAATAAATAGTGAGAAGCTGTTCTTTATAAGCAAGACAATATTGCTTAGTCAGAACACTTGAAAAAGACAAATTCACAACAGGCAGGTATGCCTGGGAGAGTAGCTTCTGAAAGAGGGTAGTTAACCATCTTGTAGACCAGGCTGACTTCTTCTGTCTAGTGTGCTATAATAATATGTTTCTGTATACAGTCCTTACTGAACATTTGCTTTTTTTATGCCAGTGTATTTCCATATCCTAGGTGACTAGACTTTGTAGTTGATCTTGAACCGTGTGAATGTTTCCTAAAAATAAACTTCTCTCTGTGGCATGTAGAAGTGTTCAACTTGAGTGATGTAGAAGTGTTCAACTTGAGTGATGTGTTCTTCATGTATGCGTGAAGTTCCCATTGTGTTCACATTCTGCTCATATGAAGTGAAAAATAAAGGCCTGCTTCTTCTAGGGAACCACTAATGTCTAAGAAATTACTTGAAGCATGTGATAGGGAAGTCTTCCATTATTTTTTTTAAATAAATAGAAGATTAATAAGAAAACTTACCTCTTTTTCTGGTATTCCATTGTCTTTCAGTGTGACAGTCCTCCTTTTCTTGTTGCATAATCTCACATGAAGTATTTTTGTTAATCACAGAATGGTAGGAGCTGGAAGGGACCTCAAGACCTCATCCAGTCCAACCCCTGCCAGAGCAGGATCACCAGAGCAGTCACACAGGAACACGGGCAGGGGTTTGGATGTCTCAGAGAAGGAGACTCCACAACCTCTCTGGGCAGCCTGGGCCATGCTCTGGCACCCTCACAATGAAAAAGTTTCTCCTCATGTTAGCGTGGAACTTCTATGCTCCAGCTTGCACCCATTGCCCCTTGTCCGATCACTGAGAAGAGCCTGGCTCCTTTCTCCTGACACTCACACTTTACATATTTATAAATATTAGTCAGGTCACCCCTCATGCACCCTTAATGCATTCGTATTTGCTATTATGTTTAATTTGAAAATAACTATGAAGAGGTGACTAGCTCTTGAGAGGTTAGTTAATGGCTGTTGCTTATAGCAATTCCAAATGTGTTTGTAAAAACAGCCTTTTGTAGCAGGCTGTTAATTTTTAAACAAGATGTTCCTCTCTCTCCCACTGTGTAAACAAAAGGGGACACTTTTGTCTTTATTGTACCATAATAATAGGATCTAATCTTAATTTCATATTAATTTTTCATGCTGGATTGAGTAACATTTCTAGCTCCAACTTCAGTAGCACTTTCCTGACATCTTGTTTTCAATGACTCTGCTTTTTCAGGTGAAAATACTGACACAGAATGAGAATAGCAAGCTGCAAGCTGCTCTTGTTAGCAATCTGAAGAGTGCAGTCACAGCAGCCTTCCTCATGTTACCAGAAAGTTTCTCTGAAGAAGACCTTTATATGCAGATTGCAGGACTCTCCTATTCTGGTTAGTATAAAGGCTTCAAGGAGAAAAGCTGTGGTTGCAGCTGCAGTACTAAGTCTAATGTATAATCAGTCATCTGCACTCTTGCTTTGGGCCTACACTGTTGCACACTCCAATAACTGTATTTTACTGCTGTGTTGCGTAAGAGCTTGGAAAGACTTAATGTGTTTAAGTCATAGAAAATAGATATAGGTACATAAGCAAAACTTCCTATATCTGCTTGATTTATGAATGGCTAAGTATGGGTGATTGCATAGAGTGAAATAATGGGTTTTTTTTCATAGAATCATAGAATACCAGGTTGGAATGGACCACAAGGATCATCCAGTCCAACCTCTCGAGGTAAAAGTGTAGTTGTATACTTGATCGATGTAGGGGAATTTACCACTTCCCCTGGGAGATTATGGGTTGTATTTTGGGTTTAATGGTTCAAAACCTTGGAAAAAACGTTTCCCTCTCAGTGTAATGTTGATTCATGTGATGGTCTGACCCTACCTTGTTATTTCTTACTTTTTGAGTGTGCTGTGTTAAGGGTTCTTAATTAGTTAACTTAAAGATCCAATTTATGATCCTTCAGTATGCATTTAATACTCACCTCCTGGTTGGTATTTGTTAACTTTTTTTTTGGTAAGAGAATTTTCTCCTTTCTTTAGTCACAAAATTGGCATGGAAAAAAATTTAAGAAATCACTCCAAGTGACTCTTCAGTAAAAGCTTTAATGCTTACAATTTAATTCAGAATTGTTCTTTAAATGCTGATGTCCTTAATGAAATCACTGTGAACGAGTTTGGTTGGAGATGTACTTTACGCAGCACTTTCTTTGCTCATGTAGAAATGCAAGTTTGGCTTTTTAAAAAACCAATCAAACAAACATAAAAGCACAGGTAGCCAGGTAGGGTTTATGAGCTGCAGCTTGGCTCTACTGAGGAGTGTTACTGTAGTACTTCTCTGGTCAGTTTAGGTTGCAGTTTGTTCTGCTTTTCCTAAGCAGTTTTGGGTTTGTTGGGTTTTTTTGCGTTGTTACCTATTTGAAAGTGACAGTAAGGTACAGAGGGTGCTGACAGTGGGATGACTAAGCGTTGCTAACCAGGGCTGTTTGCTACAGGGCTGCATACCTGTCCACCAGAAACCTGACCACGAATGTCATTAGATTATGGCGAGCGCTAGTGACCAAGACACTTTTTTACATTTCCTTTGAAACAGTGCAATTAACCAAAAGCGTAAGAGATCAGTTACTGTGCTGCAAGATGTTGAAGTTGGCTCTGCTGTGTGAGCAAAGCTAAAGCAATCGGACTCCCAGTTGGGAATATTTAAGAAAAAGGCTGTCAGTGATGTGTCTGTGGATATTTTGCTGCCATTTTGTCAAGTCTTAAACATTTCAGAGCATATATTAGTAGACAAAACTGATTTTATATGTTACTCTAATGAGTTTCCTTGGAGACTGCTGAAAAGAGTTGCTCATGCTTTAATTTGGAAAATGGTTCTCCTTTTATTTTTTTATGCATTTTTCTGAGAGCAGTGAGTATCTTTTATATGGGAAATGTCTGTTTTGCATAAATTGAAATAAACTAAGCAATGCTAGCAAGTTGCCACCTTGCAACAAAATTTATCTCCTGAACGTGGGAAGTGAGAAAATTAATTGATTCAAGGGTTCTGGTTTTTTTTTGTTGATGTGTATTGAGACTCTTGACTCCTGATTGGCAACCCTGGAAGCTACCAGGGTGGTACCCAATAGAGACAGATGTATGCTGTGTTACACACTGACTGTCTCTTCACTTAGCCTCTTTGAAACTTTTCAGTTATGTATCGTAAAAGAAAGTGTAAAGGTCACTAAGGTAGCACTGGTGTTAAAAGGAGTTGCTTTTTGAAACTACTAGTGAAATACATGGCTAAGAGAAAAAGGTGATACTGTGATCTCACCATGAGTGCCCATTAGCTGTACTTCAGGTACAGCCCTTGAAGTGCAGAGACATTGCAAATAATTTTCCTTTAATATTGCAAAATTGAAGGTTGTTTCTGGATACAAAGTATTTGGTCTGGTCAATCTGTTGAAACTGATGCATGGTTGTAAAGAATACAGCTGTGTTACTGCTGCTTTTGAGGCTGAGCTTGGCAGCTGAATTTTTTTTGTTGCCTAAGTGAAAATGTGGTCACCTGGGTTGATGAGATTACAGCCTATCATAGGCTACATAACAATTCTGAATCTTATGTTCTGTGCTTGGAGGTATTTGGATAGTTTTTTGTGACTATTAGAAGGTAAACCTTATTGTGGGTTATATAGGCATTGGTTGAAGTGGAGAATGAAGTTTTATGTGACAGCTTTGTCCTGGGTTTCTGTTACATTCTCCTTCTTTGACTTTTCAGTTTTTTCCTAATGAATTAACTGTTTTTCCTTTCTTGATTAGGTGATTTCAGAATGATAATAGGAGAAGACAGATTGAAAGTGCAGAACATAGTGAAACCTAATGTTCCCCATTTTCAGAAGCTGTACAGTAACATATTACAGGACTGCCCTCAAGTGGTATATAAGCACCATCTGGGAAGGCTAGAGGCAAGTGTTCTTTTCGAAAACATTTTTAAACCAAGCAAGTGGAAGTGATTTATCACATTGACAGAAGGCAAGAATTATGCCATACACCAAGGCGAGCAGTTTTAGTCACAGTACTTGCCACAGTACTTGTTATTTGTTATGTTGCTGTTGTTTAGTTAATTCTGCAAGCAGAAGACTTGCCTTAAATACCAGTCACTGCATATGTAGGAACTACTGTTCATTTTCTTTGAGTATAGGCACAGAATTAGAGCCCCAGCAAGGAAACAAGAGAAGATCATTTTAAAACATGTGTTCTAATGACTGCCATATGGACACAACAGCCTAGGAAGTGATGAATAAACATATGGTTTGTGTTAAAAAGGTTAGGCCATAACTTAGAGGTGCAGCTTTCTGCAATCAAAAACTGCTCACAGAAAAAACCTAGAGTGCTAGTTATGAAGATCAGTTGACTAAACCCAAATGACTTTCTGGCATTACCTTTAAATGCTTATACTAAACCATTTTTTTCCTAGTTTTTGGGAAACAGGTATCCAAAATGACCAGTATCTTGAATTCCATCTTTCTGGCATAAGGTGTAACATTGCAATTAGGGGAGAGGTGCCACAGTCAGGGGTCCAGTAGTAATTTTTCGTGTTGTAGCATGCACATCCATGTGTGACTATTCAAGTGCGATACACATTTCAAGATGAAGTTACAAACAGCATGGGTTGTCTCATGGACGTGGTTATCTGTCCTCAAGTAGCCCTGGTAGTTGTCTCAAAAGTACTTCTTTTTAGTACGTGTCTTTGTTAGAAACTGAAGTACAGATATAAGCAAGCTTAAGTACAGTAAACAGTTTTACTGAAACACTTTGGAGTACAGCATAGACGAATCTGTATTGTGCTACACGTCTCCATTTTTTCTTATCAATGTGATTTTGAACGGTTTAGTAGAAGTAATATTTAAATTAATTTTGAAAAGAATCAGTAATGCTTTCTCCAAGAAAAAGGCTAGTTAGAGCAATACTCCCTGTTGTGTTACCTTTAAACAAATCCTGGTAGCATATTACAGATATGTTGTTGGATAATAAATCTGTCCAGCATTCCATAGTAGTCATCAAGGCTGTTGATTAAATGCCATCATTTTACTGTTGATTTGAAGCAAAGGGCTTTAATGCTTTATTCCTCACACCTTGGTCTGCTTATTGGCAGTTATTCCTCAGATTGAAGAGGATAACTGCTGTCAGGAGTGCCATTTAATGCAGAATAGAAACCCCTTCTCCAAGTACACATCTTTGGAGTTACAGAGGAAATTCTTAAAAGATTCCTCAGAAACAATTGAAGACAGACACTGGTTCTTGTAGTTCTGGTTCAGGCGTGGATTCCTCCCACATAATGTTAAGAGCCTGCTCGTTGTCTGCTCCCTCTGCAGTCGGTGGGTGATTCATCTGGATATCATTTTCTCCCCATTGACTAAAGGGAGTGTACAGGGCAACTAGGCTCCTGGCTGATGTCTCCGTGAACTGTCGAAGAAGTTGTGTGGGTGGAATCGAGCTCTTCATTTTTTCCTCCAGTTTTGGAGAGATCTGCTCTGTTACGCATTTTTCGGTATTTGTGCTTAACATTTTGTGTAAATGTGTAGAGGCCTGCATGTTGGTATCACTGTATTCAAAAAGGGGTCATTGAGTTTCTGATGTAGACTGGAAAATGTGGCATGAATGTTTCCTTCGAATTATACAAACCAGATGTGGTTTGAGTTTAAAGCAGAGAAAACGTTTTTCAGACTAACTCCAAGTGTGTGCTTATGTGGTTTGATTATGTTCAAGCAGAAGAAACTGAGCTAAGTTGTCTTCTGGGAACTTTTTTTTTCATTGCAGTGTACTTACGTTTCCAAAAGAAACTGAATAGAGCAGAAATGATACCGTTTCAATGAAAAGTTGCTTGCAGAGGCAGCAAGATCATGTGTGTACCTCAGTCTTCCCTTGAATAAAAATTAATGTCTTTGCATTGAGTGTTTCTTCAGGTTCAGAGCTGAGATACTACATTTCCCAGTGCTTGGGAAGGTTTCACTAGCATTGTCAATGGCTCTTACAAGTGAAATGGATTGTGTTCTTTGAAACGTTTATCAGAGGTCAAAGATAGTCAAAAGACTTTCTTGTCTTCTTTGAAAAAAGAACTTACTTTATTAACACTGCATGTTTTTAACTGTTGTTTTTTTCTCTAACATTCAGATTGATAAGAGTCCAGAAGGTCAATTTGCACAACTAATGGCTTTGCCAAGGACCCTGCAACAAAAGATAACTTCTCTAGTAGACCCTCCTGGAAAAAACAGAGACGTGGAAGAAATTTTACTGCAAGTTGCCCATGACCCTGAGTGTGGATTTGTGGTGCATCAAGGTAGGCCTCGATCAGTGTAACCTCCTTTAAGACATGATAGATACACAGATTTATTGTATGTGTCCTTCTAATTCAGAAGGATGATTCAGAGAGAAGGGTGAAGAAAATAAGAGATTACTCATAAGTTAACATTCCTAAAAGCGAGGTTTGGGGTTGGTTTGATTGCCAACAGGTTATCTGAAATATGAGCCATTAGCATTCCTACTGATACAGAAGTATATGTTTTGGTTTGGGTCGTGAAAGAAGTAGCCTTTAGGAGTTACTGTGACCTACATAGACCATCTAACTCTTTGGGATGCTTACATCTTCAGGATTCCATTGGCTGGCATAACTTCATCTAAATATACTAAGCTATATATCCTGCCTGTCATACATAGCAACGCTAAGTTAATTTTCTGGCTTGCTGACATTACCTTTTTCAGTCATCATGGTCCAAATAGGTGAGCTCTGGCAGAGAGCTCAAGCTTTGAGGAAGAAGATTGAGGTGCTTCTCATCATCACAGCTTCTCTGAGGCAAGGTTATATCATAGAAGCAAGTTAAAGCTAATGCTGCAGACGTCCATGTTTTATTTTACAACAGAAAAATGAAAACATGTATTACTTCAAGAGTCCTTTACATCTTTAAAGAACTTGACGCATCTTAGTTCCAGGTGGTCAATTCTGCAAGCTCCTTGAGCATAGCAAGAACTCCCTAGGGGCCCAAGAACCAGTAGACACTAGCCAGGTGCTGAGGGAGCGCCTACACTGATATCTGTTTAGGGAAATAAAGCTCCTGAGAGTTGCAGTTCTCCATGAACAGCATAGGATGAATTGCACCTGAACATCAAGGTGTCCAGCTTCTTTCAGCTCAGCTGCTATGGCAGCTTCTGTGGTACTATGGCTGGAGTGCAACAGTAATGTGAAAATAGCTGAATCTGGGAGCAGGAGTAGCAGTGTTGTGAGCTGAATAAGGTTGCAGAGCTTTGGGTTGTCCACCCTAAGGTAACGATCCTTGTGGTTCTGTGTAGGTAGGGTATTGCAGGCAAGGCTGTGACTGGACTGTGTGTAGTGGTGCAGCAGTTCAGTATCAAGACATTGGATAGATCTAGTCTTCTCAAGCCATACAGTTTATACTCTTAGGAGAACAAATCAAACCCCCTCTTTCAGTTTTGTGGTTCAAAGATTTTTCCTAATTTGAGAATACAGGTAAAGGACAGGACAAACCGTTTGGTAATCCTACAAGGCAAAGCTGATTACTCAAGTTGAATTGCGTTGTCCCATGGTATTTTACTAACTCAACATGATTTGATCCCTTTCCCTCCCTACCCTCTCAGATTATTTTCTGGTGGAGTATTGTATCCCTCTTACTTATTCATGGATTTCCCTAAGCTCTGATCTCATTTTAAAAATAGCTTTGGAAGAAGGATTTAAAACTAAGAATTGAAATTATATTCTATATTCTGGTGAATGCAGAAGAAATTTCAGTTTGGAAGACAAACTCTGAGACTGCTGCATTTCTACATTTTTAAGTATTTAGTAATGTACAGTAGTCTTGTTCAGCACATACCAGTATGATTTTAACAGATAAAACTGAATTCTCTTCAAAAATGTTTTATTGTCTTACATACTATTCCATTAATACCCAAGAACCACTGGACAATGAGGACTGAATGTGCCACAGGGCACAGTGGTAAATGAGCATTATCTCCAAAAGCTGATAATTTAAGAAAGCCAGACAAACATTGCACAATATAGGCATCCCTACTTGATCAGAGAAATGCAAAATCCCATTTTCATGTTGAATTAAACAGTAAGCATAATTTGTTCTGCTCTAGAAAGTTAATATAACTGCACTTAGGTGAAACAACTCTGAATCCTTTGTGACTTAGTCACAAAGATCTTAGTAGAGAAATAATGGGAACACTAAATAAATTAATTGGATCAATTCCTACTAGTTGTTACTGTTTTAATATTGATTGGGGTTTTTTTCTGTATGTTACTAGCTATTAGGAAGAAATTCTTGACTGTGAGGGTGGTGAGCACTGGCCCAGGTTGCCCAGGGAAGCTGTGGATGCCCCCTCCCTGGCAGTGCCCAAGGCCAGGTTGGATGGGGCCTTGGGCAACCTGGGCTGGTGGAGGTGTCCCTGCACATGGCAGGGGGTTTGACTGGATGAGCTTTAAGGTCCCTTCCAGCCCAAACCATTCTGTGATTCTATGAAATAAGTGAAAATAGCTTGGAGAATATTTTCAGTTAGTGTGACAAAGCAGAACAGAAACAAACTTTTTTGGCTTAAGTGTTTTACTGTCAAGCTGCTTTGATTTGTATAACTGGAAAAAACTTAATTTTTTTTTTACGTATGTTGGAGGATTAAAAAAAATCCCTACAGAACTGCTAAGATGGGTAACATATGTGTGCTTTTCTATCTGCAGGCATTTCAGGAATTGTGAGATCTTCCAGTATAGTGCAGAGTGCTAAAACCATACTAACAGCTGGTAAGAATGTGTGATTTCTATCAACATAAGCATTCTGATTTCATAAAGTAAAACTTAGAGGGCACCAAGACTGTCTTGTTACAAGAGTTTAAGGATTAAACTTTTTGAGTGTCTAATGAAAGCCCCTGGAAAGTAAAATATTTGAAGCAGAAGCTTCATGTAGCTATTGAGAAATTGCAAAGTACCAGAAGTAATTAGAGTCTATATGAGTCTTAAACAAACAAACTAAACCTCCCAGCAACCCCAGAGTACCAGAAAAACAACTTCTGACTTCAATTTCCATCTATATGTGGGCCAGATTTGGTTGATGTGCACTAGTGCTGCTCTTTTTATATTAAAAAGGGGAAAAAAATTACTTCATAATTCATTCTGACTTTCTGCCTGTGAGTGGATTCCTAAATGATCAGTACCTAATATTGGTGTGTTATGTAGACTGTAAGGTTATTTCATCATAAAAAGGAGGGGTTGAGTTTTGAGAGAGAGGTCTTTGGCAGGATCTGATGGTTTTGTCAGGCTCAGATGCTAGGGGTGTGTTTGAAGACATCACGTGTTCTAAACTGAGCCTATACTTGGTGAGCATTGGGTAGGACTGAAACTCTCATACTTCAATATGAATTACTTCAGAAAAAGAGTTGAATATTACAAATTCAATGTGAGAGAAGGTGTAGAAGGGAAGAAAAGGACTTGCTTGTATAGGAACACAGGAAAACTAGGTATGCTTTTCAGCTATCGGAGTCTAGTGGAGTGAAAGTTACTGCCAGTTAAGAGCTGGAGGTTCATCCTGTTTTCTGAGTTCTGGACTAAATCTACTTTTAAGGTGACCTGATTTTTACTGCAGCTTGATTTAAAAGAAAGACTTTAGACCTGAACCTTCATTTACTTAAAACTCTGACATGGAGTTAGTCTTAATTTCTGCAAAGTAAAAAATCCTTGCTGCTTGCATGGATGTGCTTAAATAATTTTCTGAACTCATTCATACCTATTCCTCGTTCTTCCACAAAAGCAATTATGTATAAATGATGCCATTACTGATTTTAAAAGCAGCTGTATAGTTTCCTGCTGAGCAATTCTTATCCAGACTTCTACAGCTGCTGTTCCCTTCCCATTTAGTATTAAAGTTGGTGGCTCCATGTTACATTTCCTACCTCCTTGTAAAGAAACACAAGTTGCAGTGTTCAGGACCATTAGTGGTCTGCTGAGTAAAACAAGCAGGAGCAGTTGTACTTTTTATATGCTTCTGTTAATAGTCTAGTTCTATAAACTGGAAGAAGTCTGACAAAACTATTGCCTAACTTTGTTTAGTAGCTGGAGGAAGCTAAGGACATAACTCCATCTTAGAGAAGCAAACTTTTGTTTTATATAAGTTAGGCATATTGCAGCTATTGGTTTCCAATGTAAGGTTTCCAACCAAACAGATGACATTTTTCTTCTAGGGTTTGTTGTCAAAATTGCCTGCTAGTGGTCAAGACTTCTTGTATTGTAACAGACCTCTCTTAGAAATACCAGCTTGTAACCTAGCTGTTTCTAAATTCACAGAGTAGATTTTGTAGAGTGAAATAATTGGAGAGGAGGAGTCAAAGACAGCGTTACCGTGTTGAATTGGGTGCTTGTGAAGGTTAGTGGCTTGACTGACTCATGGAGCAAAGCTGTTTGTGTGGCAGTGCAAGAGTAGGAATAAGGCTTTGTCAGATTATTTATGCTCCCCTTCTGTCTGTTCTGATAGAACAAACTAAACTTGGGAGAGTTTAGTTTTCTTACTTATAGCATGATCTAGTTTGTTTTATTTTAACTGTATTTACTCATTTCTGCTAGAATCAGGCCAAAACCATCAGCAACAGAATTCAGGGTTGATCTTTTGGGGTTACTCACAGTTTTTTTGCTGAGGGAAACAAATTAGATTGGAAAAAGACCGTTTCTAGCATTTCCTAACCTCTGAATGTTGTTTAGTGAATGCAAAGCTTGCCTGTGGAGCTAACCTTCCTGAGCACAGTAGTGCAGGCCACCCTGGCTGGAGAAGGGGAGTCCTGCTGCCCCAGTTAGGATCAGGAGCGTGTCTGCGACGTGTGCTGCTGCTCAGAAAATGAGCCTTGCCTCACTTGCCCATGTAGGCATAGCCCAGCTTCCCCACAAGCCTGTGTGTGGGCCTCATCAGAACACCACCAGTTTTGCTCACTGAAGATGGACAGAAGCACGGAAATAGTATTTTTGTAATAAAAACTTACATTGTAGTGCACACGAAAGAAGAAATTAAATCTAACTGACCAGGGGTGTGACCTCAGTGTTTTTCAGATGTGATGTTTATATGATCTTCAGTGATCTTCCCTGGGATTTAGGAGGGACAGGTTCCATGAGTTTTGGAGTTGATCAATAGAAGGCTTTTAACTGATTTTTTTAATTACTATTTCTCTCCAAACATTTATGTTAAATCTTGCTGTCCTGTCTAATGAAGATTGTCTCCCAATCATGGTTTCTTAATTTCTTAATGCCATCCAGAGGGACCTGGACAAGCTGGAGAAGTGGGCCCAGGTGGACCTAATGAGGTTCAACAAGGCCAAGTGCAGGGTCCTGCACCTGGGTCAGGACAATCGTCATTACCAATACAGGCTGAGAGATGATGTGCTGGAAAGCAGCCCTGAGGGAAAGGATTTGGGGGTACTGGTGGGTGAAAAGCTGGACATGAGGCACCAATGTGCATCTGCAGCCCAGAAACCAACCCCATCCTGGGCTGCATCACAAGAAGTGTGGCCGGCAGGGCCAGGGAGGTGATTCTGCCCCTCTGCTGTGCTCTGGTGAGACCTCACCTGGATACTGCGTCCAGCCTTGGAGTCCCCAACACAAGGACATTGAAGTGCTGGAGTGGGTCCAGAGGAGGCCACAAAGAGGCTCGGGGGTTGGAGCAGCTCTGCTATGGGAACAGGCTGAGAGAGTTGGGGTTGTTCAGCCTAGAGATGAGAAGGCTCCTGGGGGACCTTCCAATACCTGAAAGGTGCCTATAAGAGATCTGGGGAAGAGCTGTTCGCTGGGGCATGGAGTGGTAGGACAAGTGGTGCTGGTTTTAAACTAGAGAAGGGGAGATTTGGGTTGGATATGAGGAAAAAGTTCTTCACCATGAGGTGGTCGATCACTGGCACAGGTTGCCCAGAGAGGTGGTGCAGGCCCCATCCCTGGAGATGTTCAAGGCCAGGGTTGATGGGGCTCTGAGCAACCTGATCTGGTGACATTGTCCCTGTCACTGCAGGGTTGGACTGAAGGAGATTTAAAGGTCCCTTCCAACCCAATACATCCTATGATTCTAATTTTAAAAGTTCATCACTAGGGGGCAGGCATTAATGCTGCTCACTGCTTTTGCTATTTTTTGGGGCTCTTGTCAAGCAATATCCCTATAGAGACATACTGTACACAGGCAAAACTTTGAGGCTCCTACATTAAACATAGTTACTTAATTCATGTAAGGAATGTGTATTACAGGAGGTGTAGAGCTTTTAAATGTTATCCCTAAGGATGCTGTATTTCTTTCTTCATTCTTTATGCAAATCTTGTCTAATATTCTGTTCCTCTGAGGCCTATTTTAACACTTTCTAATAGAGATTTTAGGAAAAGTATTATGGCTCTGTCTTCCTGCAGTGTTTACATTAAGAATAGTAGCTAAAAGAAGAGAAATATGAAAGAGATTAATGAAATTAGTGGCTCCATTAGATAAGCTCTGATTCTTTTCTTGTTGTTCCTAGTAACTATACTTTTGTGCTATGTCTGCTTTGAAAAGAGTTAGTTTTCATTACATGGCCATCATTTCGAAATGTGATGGAGGACACAAAATTATTTCCTTAGCTGCTTGTTTTATCTCAACAACAACAAGTGAAATGCCTACTCTCTGGTCTGTAGCATCGTAGTCCAATGTACGGCATATTTCTAAATTAAATTTTAAATCAGGAATAGTCGTTGCTGAGATGGCATGCTGTGTATTCACATTATTGGCAAGGAGCACAAAGAGTTTCAACCCATTTAAGAGAACTTTTTTCATCTTTCTCTGCCAGTGTGGTTTTAAAATTGAGCTCAAGCTCCATGTTTTTGTTTGTTGTTAAATGCCCTATTTAGTTTTTGAAAATGCGGCTATGTATTTCTTTGACTCTTGTGGTGAGATTGTCTCTCTGTTTCTCATTAGAGATGGCACCATCATTTGATTTATTTTTCCCACATAGCCAGAGTCTGCATGGTCTTTGGGAACTAACTCTGAAGTACTTTTGTTTAGCTCCTCTGAAGGAGCTTTATATCTTTATATCCTCTTTATATCTTACTAGAGGAATACTACAAGCCTTGAAAATTTTATATAAATAAAACACTATATTAATCAGTAGAAGCAATTGTTAGAGATACTTTTAAGTTAGCACAAACACTTGTAGCTTCTCTGAATAACATTTGTTTTCTTGAAACTAGGATATTAGTATACTACGTCTCCAAGGATTTATTTTTTTTAACTATAAGGAACAGTTTTAAATATAAAATACTTCGTAGATTTGTGATAACTGCTGTGCTGCCTGAGCAGATATTGCATACCACTGCACTTCACTGTAAATATGTGTAAAAATTTGCATACATTTGTGCATGAGACACTAACAATGTTAACTATTTGCCTCCACATGACAGCTCTTCCGCAGTGTGTGCATTCGACTTTCCTTTTCTAAAGGAAATAAAGAATACTACAGCCAGACATATCTACTGGGAGACTCTGAGGGACTTTTAGCCAAATTACTATCTTACAGCACTAACACTTCCAAAAAAACCGAGTGTGGGTTGTTAAGTAAAACCAGATACAACTGATGTTTACACTGAAATTTTGTGGTCTTGATTCCATGTGCGTTAGGTCTTTGTTCTCTGTCGTATAGTGGAAAAATCTAAAGGGGAGGTGGAGCCGCCAAGTCATAGATTCATAGCTAAAATAGAAAGACATTTTCATGTGGTCCAACTGCTTCAGATTCTGAGACTGAGCCATAATTACAACCATTAACTTTTACTATAGATGTGACTCATCACCCTGAGGGCTGCTTGAAGAAACCAGCTGTATGTATAAACCTGTCTTTTGCTTTGTAGCGTGATGTGCTAGGGTAGAAATGTAAGCAGCTTATTACATAAGGCTCCAGCGGGTGGAGCTCAGCAGAGTGCTCCCTGCAGGGGGAAAAGATGAAGGAGAAAAACCTCTTTCTGTCGAGCTGCTGCAGGAGGCAGAGGAGGTTGGCAAGCTGCTGAACAAGCTGGCTTGAAGGCTGTGGTGCCAGCGCAGTGAATTACCATCAGGCAGGGCTGCATCAGCTGTGGTGCTGGTGATTTGCCACATGCTATGCTGTGCTTCCAAAAGTGCTCTGGCTTATTTGGAATGGCAAAACAAGGTCGATTCTGGCAGAGCGATTTCAGTATCTGGGGGGTTGCATCCTGGAAGTGTAGTGCCTAGGAGGCTGGACAGTAATCAAAGCTGTACAGTTACATAGCTTTTCCTTTGGGGGTTAGAGCCACTTCCTTCACTTGTGTATTGTGCCTGAGCTCAATCTGGCCTTGCTCTGCCGCTGCCATGTTTACGCTGGGTGTAATTTTAATGCAGATATGTGAGGTGCTTCAAAATTTACATGATTGTTTACTAGTTAGTTGAGATGCTGTGAAGAAAAGCTCATCGTGACTTCATTAGTTTGCTTGCTTTTAACAAAAACCTATTAAATATAGAAAAATATGAGGTTACATATGGGATGCACATGGTTTTGTAAGCTGAAAAATATATGTATGGATTCCTTACAAAAGGTGAAGTTGAGTTTATTTAAATTGCAATTTGCAATTGCAAGAAGTGCAAAACTGATTATGTACAGTGTATTTGTTATAGGCTTTTTACTCTCCATCACATTCCTTCAGAAATAGAGCATATACTTTTCCCTATTAATGCAGACTCATTTGAATTCTGGTAACTAGACTGCTAATACAGAGTGCTTCTTTCACCTGAAGTATTTTATCTTCACTGGATTACTTTCTAAGGTCTTCTCAAAATCAAATATCACATCCTTGTGCCTCCCCACCCCCCAAAAAAAGAGTGCAATGGCTAAACTTGGGTGTAATTTGCTCATTTATTCCAGCAGATCTTTCCTTGTGTTCTGGTGTGTTATCCTGTGTGACTTTTGGCTAAATTGCTTCTGTGTACTTTTAGTCAGTCTTGCCAGGTAAATAGTGTTCTATGAAATAAATATAAGAAAAATTGTAGTAAGTCTAACGTACCATACTTCTAAATCTGTGCATGTGTCAAAATTAAAGGGTTTTTGTGCAGCCTTTTCAGCTTTGAATTTTTAAGGGTGTGATTAGACTCGAATCTGAAAAGTCACTCTGTGTTTTATGTTGGTTTTTTGTTTTATTTTGGGGTAGGTTTTAATCAAAAAAAGCTGGAAGGAGGAAAAATAAGTAGCTCCACTGGCTAGGATCTCAGAACCCCACTGAAATGCCAAGACTAACAGTATTTTGGTTTCAAGTTTCCAAATCCTAGATGACTAAACCCAGCAAAAGGCTGTGTGTTTTTTTTTTTTACTCTAGGTCTGTAAGAACTTCAGAAAGTGTTTAACTCTAAGGGTACACTTTACAAATTGTGGGGGAGTCATCCTCAATCCCTTTGTATCTAAAACTTGTCAAAGCTTGGAGACAGTGACTGCTGCAAAAACCACCTGTATCTTTGTGCAAACTGAGAAATGCCTTCCTTTGCTGTAGGGCTAGCGTAATGGTTTGGTATTTACCCAGGTTCACTACCTGTGGGCTGCTGCAGGATGATGCTAGAGTATGACAGCTCTTCTGGCTTCAGATGAGGTTTCTCATAAACAAGTGGCAGGCAGGTTACTCTGAAGCAGAATTGGTCCAGACAGCATCCCTGTGGCAGGGTGTTCACAGGTACACTTCTGATTTGCGGTGTTGCCAAATTACAGCTGTTTGTCAGCACCTCATTATTTTTGCTTCTTTCAGTTTCCTTGCGTAGATGCCTTATTAATCTGGTTTTCCATCCCCATCATCATTTCATTATTAGCACTTTTTGCCTAAGGGCACAGATGTTGTTTCATTATGCAAGATGAGCAGTTTTATTCTCTTGCAGATGTGCTATTCTCTCACTTACGAAACGGTAGCTGCCATTAGTTAGGATGAAGCAATAACAAAATATTCAAGGAGGTTATAATGTACTTTACAACTTGTTGAAACCAGAACAGATTTTCACTTCAACAGTCACCAGCACATTTCCTATGGGGGGAAAGAAACCAACAACAATTCTTTGTTTTAGTTCTTAATTTAAAAGCCTTTGCTTGGCAATGCTCTGGGTCTATTTGTTCTGGAAAGCTGCTGATGGTGTGCAGTGTTTGATTACATTTACTCAAGATGGGCACCAGTGTGATGCTTCTCAGTTCTACCTGTGTATAACTGGTCTACAAGAAGGCACCAAGCACCTGACGTATAGCATCAAGCAAGGCTAACTAAAATCTGATTAGCAGAAACACTGGTAAAGGAGGAGTGGTGAAGTAGGATTTGAAAGTATAAAGCTTGCTGTCTACAGAGTTTGTCTTGCCTGAGCAGACTGTTCTTTTGTGCTGGTTCACCCCTCTCTCTCGCCTTCCCCTTTATCCCTTCAGTAAAATTTTGGCTGCCCAGCTTTAGGCACAGCTGTGGTTCTTGATCATTAGGCCTCATCTAATCTACAGAACCTGGTGATGGGCTTCTGTCTCAAGAGCCAAAATGCTTTGACAGCTAGACTGTTCTCACAGAGGTGGCCAGCTAATGAAGCTGGGTTTCTCCAAATGGTCCTGCTCGGGTGTCCATGCTCTGCCAGGTTGCTGGTGTCCCTTACCAGGCCAGGGCACAACCTGACTCAGCTGGACACGCCACCTCGCAGTAGAGCAGAAGGGGCTTGAAAAGCATCATGTATTGGATTGGTGAGGATCTGCTGTAGACACAGATGGTTTAAAAGACTTCCTATCTTTAGCATTTAGGAGTGGTGGTGTAAATCATCAGTTTCCCTCTGTACTGGTTAAGAGTTTTATCATGAATCTCTATGCTTGTTATACCTTGGTCACTGTCTATACAATGTGCTTGTATGCAGCATCAGCAGGCCTTCAGAATGAACTTATTATATTATGCATGCTTTGATAGTATTGAAAGTATTCTTTGTGTGATTACTTACTGTAGTATGAGTGTGACAAGAAAGTTGTGTGTCTGCCTGATGGATTAGGTTGTAACTCTTCCAGGGCAATATTTTACTTAATATAGTAAGAACATAGTATTTGAGTTAGACTTCCTAAATGCTGATATTTTCTGGTTTTTTTTTCTTTTTTTTTTTAGGGTTGAAGAAATCTATAACTTACAGTATGAAGAAACTGTATAAAATGACAAAGGGATGGTTAAGGAAGACATCTTGAGTCTTGACATACTGTGTATGGGTAAATAAATGGTACTTTTTCTCTAAATATTGTGCAGATGTTGCTTTGCCAATTTGAGAAGATTGAAGTGCGTTTAAGAAGTCTGTGATAATCATTTACATGCCCAATTTTACTAAAATAGGAACTTTTGTTAGTGGGGGAAGGTTCAGTGGTAATAGGGCAAAGGAATTATATTCTGTAAGTACTGAAATGGATTTTCCTGTATACTCTAGTTTGGATTTTCAGAAACCCTGAGTAAAAAGGATTGATTGTACATATGAATTAAAAACCAAAGTCATTTATTTTCTATGCATTGCTAGCTTTACTTTCTGAAATACCCTCAGGCTCTTTCAAAATATTCACTCTATCAGTTTTAATTCTGTCAGGGACTTAGGAAATTTAAGAGTCCATTGAGTTTTAAGTAGCTATGAAACTTTCCTCTCACAAGACATTATTTCTGCACTTACAAGTTCATCCTCGGAATTCTTCTGAGGTTGCTTACTGGGTGCTTTTACAGAGTAGACTCCATGAAAAGCAATTTTTTTTTCCTCAGATGTGTGACATTCTGAATCCCAAAGCTTCAAAAATAACTTT